GAAGCGACTTAAAGAAGTTGAAAGGCAATGTTTATAAACATTATATAGCTTCCTCCAGCAATCAAGTAGGTTTCAGTGTATTAAATCCCACTTCTCTCCGTTGAGATTTGCCAACTTTCGATTAGACAAGAATAAAACTATTTTTTCAGAATCAAATTTTTTTCGAAACGAATGCACTGTAAGCCAACAACGATGCAACTCTAAACCAGAAGATATTTATTGTCATGATGTGGTCAACATATCTGGACAAGAAATTAATTTAATTAAGATCCAGAATTCGAATATGAGTCATCTGCGTTTTGTGTTACTTTCCACAGCGTCTGATTAAATAGTTTGAAATATTTGCACAGAATTGTTCTTCAGCAAATAAGACTTTATACATAATGATTATTATCCTACATTTTATAAGGAAATAGACAGCGGAATTTTGTTCTTACACTGCATACGTTGTGATAAATTGGGTATTGTAAAAGAAACGGCAATGACATGGCGATACATAAAAAACCTTGAAATATTAGTATCTGTTGCACCACGCAATCTTTTAAATTAGCTTCATTTTGAAAATAAAGATTCGTCATTCAGAAGAAGAAAAAAACAAAAAAACATTAATTATTTGAAAATATTTTTTTAAAACAATAAAGAATGAGTATACGAAAAAAAATTTTTTTTAAGAAGTTTCAAAAGAGAATAATAATGAGAAAATATATCTTTGCTCTGTTGAAACTATGGTTTGACTGATATAAGTATGTTTATGTTTTGATAATTGAATTTAGCAGTATATACAGTCGAACCTCGTTATAGTGAACCCGGTATATAGTGAACGAAATGTTCGGTCCCGTACCTCGCTATATATGTATAAAGTTATTTTTTGTGGATATAGTGAACTGTACTATAGTTACTTTTACTTTATACTAAACCATGAGTTTTTGTACTGATTTTTTCTTTAAAAAAAATCCTATTAAGGCAGTTAATTTTTTCGTTTTTTCAACATTTTCTATTTTAAGAATTGAAAAACAAATTTTTTTTTTTTTTTTTCGTTCTTTCTGTTTCTGTCATAGCGCGGGGTTTTAACGAAGAACTCCTGATAGACTGTATTTTGTCAATTTTTATTCTACGATAATATAGATAACCGGTAAAAACTATGTTAAATAAATAATCCCAAAAAGGTGAAGCGGTAACATATTACTTGATAAAAAACTTCATTATACAAATTGGAAATAACAGTTAACATTTTTCAAGCAGAAAGAACAGACGACTATTTTCAAGACTTGCCAGACGATAATGAATTGAATTAAAAGTGATTTGAAATATAAAACGAAAAGTTGCCTAAGAAAAATAAAGGTGAACGAAATGTTCGGTCCCGTGCCTCGCTATATACGTATAAAGTTATTTTTTGTGGATATAGTGAACTGAAAAAGAGAGGAAGTTAGATATTACGAACTTTTTCTGTCTTCGACTGATTTTTTTTTCTTCATTTTTTCCAAATAATTTTGAAATGTCTACTTCAAAATAAATACTTATACCATCTATAGAGTGAAATGCCAGCGATAAGCATTTTTTCTTGTTTACTTCTTTTATCTCACTTTTTCATCCCTAAACAATTGCCTACCCAAACAGATGTATGGACAAATTTTTCCTTGTATCAGCTAAAGATTACTAATTTTTTTTGTTCACAGACGGAGATTAATAAAAAATAAAAGCAAGTGAACACATTTTTTGTTACTACGGATTATTTTTCATTCATTTTTGTATTTCATGTTATTGGTCATTTATTTTTATAATGTATAATAAAAAGGAGTTTGGAACCATAAGTTAAAATTGTTCGCGGAACGGATATAGTGAACTCCCGGTTATAGTGAACTGATATATATATATATATATATATATATATATATAGATGGATAGACAGATACATACAAAAGTTTAAAATGCAGAGAAAACATGGAAAAGATTACAAAAAAAATGAAAAGAGAAGAAGAAAATTATTAAAATAAAATAACATAATTTAAAAAAAATATATTAACCTCTTATCAGCTCACGCGATTATATCTGCAGAAAGGAGTGCTTTCTAACATTGTATCAATATAGCCAAAGCAAAATATATCAATACAATAATGTGAGGAGCACTCAAAAAAACTTACATAAAAATCAATAAAGCTTATTAATTTTCTTTTTCTTCGTTTTTCTCTTTTTATCCTTTTCATATTTATTTATTGTGCTCTCTCTATCTCTCTCTCTCTATATATATATATATATATATATATTGCGAAACCCAACTAACAAATATCTTATCCTACAATTTATGAAGAGAAGAAGAAAATGCATAGATAATTTTTTTTAATGCGTGAGCCCATAATATTATTAACCTTTTCAGCAAAAAATATTTATCAAATAATTGATAGTAGTCTAAATATGAATTATTTACAAAATTTTATTTTGAAATTACATTCAGACCATTTTCTGAAGAATCAATGAAAGGTTTAGAGATAAATGTATCATCATGCATTTGGCATATAAGAAAACTGTTCTAACAGAAGCATAATATTCATCTTTCATTTTCAAATAAAATATTATTAACTTTAAATGATACAGTGGAAATATTTTTTTTGAAGAATTACCTTGATTGCGCAAGTAATAATAATAACAATAAAAAAAAAATTTAAAAAAAAGCAGAACACTTTGAATAAGTTTTTGAGAAAGTTAACTCTGAGTAATGATCGGATTTTCCAGTACAACTTTAATATTTTGAGCCGTAGACATTATTTACTTTACAACTTGAATATTTGTACAACTTTAATATTTTGAGCGGTATGACATTTGGAGTTTATTTAAATAAACAATAAACAAACCTTTTTGTGACCGATTAATATTTTTAACAAAAAAACATTAACTGTAGCCGCAATCTGTATACAATGATAAAACAATAATTTATAGTAGTTTTTTAGAATTAGTTTAACGATAGTCCTAACGTCTATAAATTGTAACGTATACAAATTGTTGCGTCATTTTAAATGCAAATTCAAAATTTGATCGAAATCGGCTAAGTAGTTTTTGCGAAATAAAACTGTAAGGAAGCTTATTATTAAACTTTTCTCTCTTGCGAAATAAAACTGTAAGGAAGCATATTATTAAACTTCTCTCTCTTGCGAAATAAAACTGTCAGGAAGCATATTTTTTAACTTTCCTCTCTTGCGAAATAAAACTGTAAGGAAGCATATTATTAAACTTCTCTCTCTTGTGAAATAAAACTGTAAGGAAGAATATTATTAACCTTCTCTCTCTTGCGAAATAAATCACTAAGGAAGCATATTATTAAACTTTTCTCTCTCAAGAACTACTCAACCTTCCAAGTTTAGGTTAGTTTAAAATGATTAATACATTTTTAAGCGTTACAATTTTAAAATATTTCTTCTTATGTCCTCATGTATGATTTTGCAAAAGAATTAAACTTACCAATAGTAATTATTCCTGAAAACTTTTATGGTCTTAGATGCTTTTAAAGATTTATACAATTTAACCGCGAAAATTTCAAATTTTATAATTTAGTTCTATAACTTTGAATACAAAATAAATAAATAAAAAGAAAGAAAAAAAAAAACGCAAGGGCAGTCTAGGTTTACAGTCTAGACTGTTATAATATTATACAACAAAAAAATAAATAAATAAAGTCTTAAACCCAATATCACGTACAACAACAAACTCAAACAAAATATTTCCCACACATAAAAAGATTTTTCTCATGGCTGATTAATGATTTCGATAAAATAAACAATTTTTTAAAAATGTTAAAATATTTCTAAGAAGCTGCCATGTGATCTATTGTCAAATTGCTTTATTCGAGGCAGGGGAAGACAGTACAATTTTATTTTTTTTAAAAAGACAAAAGTTAGTGTATAAGTTCGAACGTATTCGGGACCTGTTTATTTATTTATTTTTCGTTGTGTCGACGCGCTGCCCGTATTTGCTTTTTTTAATAACAATTATTAAAGTTCTTATAAATATTGTACTAAAGTTCTTAAAGAAAAATTATGTTTATTAAATATAAACAAAAAACGTTTTTGTTTAGGAATTATCTGTGTAACATAATCGAATCATAAATTTTAAATACGCTCATGCATATAAATATTTATGGAACATAATTTTTTTTGAAAAAAAAATTGCGCAATATAAAAAACTGAACGTCATAACAATTCTAAAATTTTAATATTATTTTCTGAAGTTTATGGAATACTTAGTAAATAAATAAAAAAAAATATTATCAATCCAATTACATAAATTAATTATATTTCACGACAATAAATTTTACTAATTTTGAACTTGATATTTACAGGAGACTGATACATATTGACTTTGTTTATTTTTGTTGCAAAAAATGAAAAATCAAAAAATATTAGAGAAATTATTTTATATTCTAGAACTTGTGCTTAATATTAAAAAAATGTTAATAAAAATTCATAATTACATTTAAAATTAATTTTTAAATTTATTTTTAAAATAAATTTTAAAAATTTATATCTGTCAGTAGATGGCGCAGTAATAGTTGCATTCGCAATCGATCTCCTTGGTCGAATTTTACAGCTGCTTGCAAGGTTGAAAATTTCCCCCCAGTATCCGCCATGCTCATACCATTACCTGCTCAGATAAAAATCTTTTTGGCTGTCGCGCGCATGACGACTCAGTAAAATCTTTAGGTTTTAGAGGTAAGTTTGACTTTTTTGAAGCAATTTGAGACTGGAAAAATACTTAAAATATGTTTTAATATCCATTTGCAATCATTTTTTACTCGAAAGATGTAGTTAAAATAGGACAGAGGTGAATCTAGTTCAGGAAACTCTACGGCGCAGTCGCAGAAATCAAAATGGCGATGTTTGTTATGAGATCGGTTGGACAGAATGTAAGCTCCAGTTATCGATAAATTTCAGCTCATTGACGAAACAAAATCCGAAAATTCTTCATGGATACAAATAGAAAGTGAAATCTAGCTATTAAAAATTACATACCATCAATTTGGACGGAAAATGTTGTAGTATCTCTGCAGGAAGCGTAAACTCCTGCTACCAAGTCAAGAAGTGGATCTGGAGGGGTGACTGGCGCAGACGCACACACATACTGCTCAATGGAGGTGCTCAGTTTTCAGATTTATCATCATAAATAAAAGCTCAGCCGTAAAGCCAAAAAGTGGGCGTTTGGCCGAGAAACTAGAAATTTCATTTTTATAACTTCAAGTGTGCCATATTTTGGTTTTTTCATATTTCCTTATTAATGATGCTGTCCATAGTAGCAATACCGGAGGCTACCATCTTGTATTTAGCCTTTGACGAAGAGATGTGTAACCGATCGATATTGAATTTCGTTAATTTACGATTGAAAAACCGGCGCTTTCTTTGCTTTAAAAAAGATGGTTAAGCAGTGTAAAAGTTGACTAAATCAACAGAATTCTTGTACCTTACCGTATTTACAAAAGATTCTACAATGATGATCCAATTACCAGGTAAATAAAAACCAACTTCCTTTTATAAGTGTAGACGTGTATGAATTGATGTAGCATGTTATGAATTTTTCAATTCTCTACTTCTACTGTGTTTTCAAGCTTTTATATATAAATCGTCTTTATATTCAGATACGTATACAATAGTACAAAAATGAAAATACAATTGAAATCAATAAAATATAAACATGTGTTACTGAGTGTCAAATTTCCCTTAATGTTTACATGGTATTAGTCTCATTAGCACTTCTGTTTATTTTCATAATTTAGTTCGAATTATTAGTTTTATTAATAAAATCTAGTTCAATCAATATTTCGGATAAAAGTGTATCAATTCCTTTAGCCATGATTATTTAATTTATATCAGTTACTTGACATTTGAACAGAATTAGAATTGTATCCTACATGTGTGATTAGTCTATAGGAAAGAATTATTGTTTTTGTAATAAAACAAATTGAATTAAACATTATTTATTTCATTAATTATTTTCTGAAAGAAAATTTCAATTGATTATTGGTTCTTAGATGAATCAGTTTCAATCAGCAACCTGTCATTAGCAATTGTCAAAAAAAAGTGCAGAAGTAGTATTCTAGCGCCTGATGAAAGAAACTGAGAATCAAATTTACCATTATTAACTATTGGTTATTGTTCGTACAATAATGTGACAATGAAGTTAATACGTACCTCTATATTGAAATATTTTATTAATTGGAAAAACTTGAGAGTAGTAACTCAACCAGGACTTATAATGTGCTTTTTATTTTAATTTATTGTTACAGTGCAATTCATCTAAGATAATTGAATATCTTATTTTAGTTAAATGCCTAATGAATTGCTTGCCTTTTAAACTTAAATTCTAGTATATTGAGTAATAAGAGCAGTATAATTTTAATTTATAATGAAAAGGTAGCATAAATTATCGATATGTTTTTATAAGGTAAATGTCTGGAATGATTTTGTAGTAAAAAGCATCTTAGGGCTTGCATGTGTTCTTATAATTTATATCATATTTAAAACCTTCTCATTAAGAAAGTAGTTCTATAATTTCACTTTATAATATTAAAATATATTTCCTTCAACTGTCTGGACTTAAAGAATGTCTGACGATTTGAGGATATATTAAATTAATCAAAATATTGAGAGTTTTAAAGCTTTTGACTCTGAATTAGTACCATCTTTGTTACAATTTGAAAAATAATTATTAAATTTTAAGCCCTTATTAAGTAAATTTTTCCGATTTTTAATAGCTAAACTGATGTTGCGAAATATCCTTTTAGTTAGAAGCACATCTAAAAATGTCAGTTTTATTTATGTTTATAATTTAAAGTTAAAGTAAGTCCATTAATATTTTTTTTTAAGTTACTCAATTTTAAACTAATATGAAATTATAGCTAGTTAATTTTTTGTAAATTAAAATAGCAAAAATTAAAAAAAATCATGGCTGGTTAAATACCAACTGAATTGATTTAAACTCATCTGCTAGGAAGAAAGCATTAACAGTTTTTTATTTATTTTTTTATAAATTTGTTTTGGGCTTTTTCTTCACTAAGTGTGGTAATAAATTTCTAATTTTGTTAAATCACTTTATATTTATGAGTATTTTGTTTGTCTTGCCTGTTAACCTTCGTTTGTCAAACCTTAAAATCTATTCAGGGTGTGTTTTTTTTAATCTTATTATTTAATTTAGCCTAAGTGATTTAATGAATTATTTGATTGGGTTTTACTTCATTGCTCTTAAAATCTAACTTTTCAAAAAGTGAAATCTTAAATATATGGTATACTTTTAGGAGAGATGTCTTTTGAAGGAGATGTTTCTGAGACGAAAGTTCTACTATCTGCAAAGCAGTTGGAAGTGCTGCCGAGGGATAAAGTTTTCTTATTCAGTCGGTAAGAAGCAGCTTTAAAAATTAATTCGGTAAACCGAGATATTGGAAGAACCAATATAATATCTTGGTTATATCTAATTTCATCTAGTGTATTGATCAGGGTTGGGTTTTTGCCGTCAAAAACTGGTTTTTGGCAGGACAGTGGTAATAACCGTGTTTTTACCGGTAAAAACTGTCAAAAACCTACTGTTTTCTTTAATTTACGGCATATAGCGGATAATATATTATTTTCACATAATTGCCTTTATAAATAAATGTTGTAAATGATTGCTATTGATTTTGCAACTATATACATGTATTCTTATAGAAGGATATACATTCATACAGAAATATTGTAATATACTTATTGAAAATAGTGATACTTACTTTTATCATAATAGCTTGATTTGCAATGGATTCAAAATTTCGCACTTCTTAATTGTTAGAAATAAACAAACAAACAAAAAAAGCTTGGAACTATTAATAAACTCAAGAACTAAAAAGAATTTAAAATTTGGCATTTCTTAAATATAGAAATAAGCTAAACAAAACTATCAAATCTTGTAACTACTAACAAACTCTAAGTCAAGAATTACTGCTATTTTGTCAAGTTAAAAACTTTTATTCAGTTGAAAAAGCACATTAAACAAAACTTAATTACAAACAAAATTACATGTTCAGTAGTCGGGTCACTGTGCCAAAGCATACGATAGCAAGTGACTAATTTTGCGCATTTTTCATTGCCCAGTCGATTTCTAAGTTTAGTATGAATGAGTCCAAAATTCCAGAAGATTCAAAATTATTTTACCAAATACTTATAAATTTTTTTACCAAATACTCAAAATTATTCTACCAAAACTATGGGTTTTTGACAGAGGGGTTTTTGACATGACGGTAAAAACCGTCATGTGTCAAAAACTTGCCAACCCTGGTATTGATATCTGAAGAAACATCTTTGTAAAATTATACGTTTAAAGTTCATTTTCTAATAAAATACTCGTTAATTATAAAAATGGGTAATAACTGATTATAACACATTTTTACTGCACTGTTTAATTATAGACTTTCGATAACAAATTGTTTATATAGCTATAATTTATAACTTTCATGGAAATTGTAAACACTTGAATTACAGAAAATATAAATTCAGACTTTTATTCCCTATATTTTGTGATTAAAACACTGTAAATTGTATAGTTTATAATTTCTACAATGACTTTGTAGTGTATGGCTTATTGTTATTTTTTGCCTATGTAAAGCCGTGCTAAAAGTATAGGTTTATTTAAATGAGATTTTCTTAAGAGCAATTCTTATTTAAAGCAAGAGAAATGCTGTTACCATTGTCAGAAGCAAATATGATAATTTAATGTAAATATATATATTTTTTAAAATCTTGTATTATACAGCCATGTAATCTAAAATTTTGCTGTATTAAGAAAATGATGATTAGAATAAATTACACTGATTAATTGCTTTTGTTTTAACAGGATGAGCACAGGGACTGCTATCAGCACAGATATCACACCAGATGTAGTAACATCAACAGTTAATCAATCTATAATCAACAGTAAGTCAATCTATAATGCAGATGAGCTGAGTGAGCCCTCTTCGTCTTTGGACAGCCCGTCTTTTGAAGATGCTGATCTACTCAATTCATCCAATGTTGCTGATGTCACAGCTCAACTTGCTGCTGCCGGTATGATGAATATTTTTACTCATGAACCATTCTAATTATTCAGTGCTCTGTTTTGTTTGAGGTTTTGTGTATAATAGTCATTCTGTGCAAGTCTTTTTTAAATCATCAGAAAGAATTTTATAAGAAATTCTGAATGCCGTTATTTTATATCAATGCCATGTGCTTTAAATATGTGCACTGTATGCTATGATGTGATGCTACAGGCTCAATATATTGCCGTATTTGCTTATATGAAAAAGTTGGTATGTTGCTGTTTTCTGCATTTACTTTTCATTGATATTATATGTTTTAAAAGTATCAAACTTAACGTAAGAAAACTGTTTCTTAATAGGGATTCGAGCTGTAGGAAAAACTACTTCATTTTTGTGATTGATACAGCTGTTTTATTACAAATGAAGTTACTTATAACAATTTTTTTTTTAAATGTAGTGCTTGCAAACTACTTAGGAAATGCCACCATTTTTTTAGGAGGCAGACTTTGCTGCAGAACTTAATTTACACCCATGTTCAAAACAGTTTTGAATAAGAAATCGGCTTGTTGAAACATTTCAGCTTTTTATGCCTTTCTCGATCATGAATATTTAATTTAAGAGATGCTAGGAAATTTCAAGAGCTTTTTTTTATTGTTAAAGCTTTTAATGGTCTTTTATTTCCGCAAGCAATAAAGTACACCAAAAGTTACTGAGAAAATATGTTCCTTTCTATCGAAATAACATCCTTTCATGAATGCACATTCGAACTTGAAGATGTGACCGAAATGTTAACATAGCTATTATTTATATTGACAGGGTTCCCGCGGCCTTGAAAAAGCCTTGAAAAGTACTTGAATTTCATTTTGATTTTCAAGGGCCCCTAGAAGTACTTGAAAATGATATTAAATCCTTGAAAAATTCGAAATGACCTTGAAAAGTATTGAAAACTCAGGAAAACAGCCCTATTTCCAGTATTTCTATGTTTAACTTTTGACGCGCGTAAGTGTGAGAAAATGACTTCCCCGTCTTTCAGATGATGACACGTACTGTTTGATTTTAGGATTTTATGTATGTTTGGCTGATTTTAGGAATTTTAAATATTGGGAACTGCGCCAAATTCTGACAAAATCTCGATCAATCATCGATCTTCGTATTAGACTTATTTAAAAATTATGTGTTGCAGGGATGGGAGACTTCCGCGAAAAAGCGGAAATCCGCTTTTTCCCCCCAATTTTGAAAATTTCCGACCGTGTTCCAAAAACTAAAATTTTTGGGAAGTCCTATTGGAGAAACCCAAGCCGCCCGAACGATAGTCGGATTACCGCGACTTGTGCTATAGAGTGGAAAAGAGTCTAAGCGTTTCGTTTTGAGCGCCTTTGTTTTTTTTTTTTTTTTTCTGATTTTTGGAATTTTAAATATTAGGAACTGCACCGGAATTTGCCAAAATCGCGTTTTTTAATCAAACGATTTTAATATCAATCATCGATTTTTGTATTTAACTGATTTAAAACTTACGTGTTGCAATTTTTTTTACGCGATTTAAAAATCGTACTAGCAATTCCTATTCACTCAATTTCAAAATCCAATATCGCGATTTGTATTTAAGCGTTTTTAAAACCCAATATCGCGATTTGTATTCTCGTGAGTTTAAAATCCAACGTCGCGATTCGTATTCACGCATTTTTAAATCCAATTTTGCGATTCGTTATCACGCAGTTGTAATATCAGATATCGTTTTTCGTATTTGTACGC